ACCAGCGCCTCTTCTTCTTGAGGACTCTGAGGAAGAACCACCTGTCCTCAGACATCCTAGCGAACTTCTATCGCTGCACCATCGAGAGCATCCTGACCAACTGTATAACAGTCTGGTACGGGAACTGCTCTGCCTCGGACCGGAAGGCGTTGCAGAGGGTCGTGAAAACTGCCCAGCGCATCACCGGAGCACCACTTCCTGCCATAAAGGACATCTACAGGAAGTAGTGTCTGAAAAGGGTGGGGAAAATCATCAAAGACCCCAGTCACCCATCACATGGACTCTTCACCCTCCTGCCCTCTGGGAGGCGCTACAGGAGCCTCCGGACTAAGACCACCAGGTACCGGAACAGCTTCTTCCCCACAGCTGTCAGACTCCTGGACTCTGCCTCCTGACATCTGACCCACGTTAACACATGGACTGGACATACACACACCCACAACCACCTACACACACAATGGACAACTGTACCCTCATACACACAATAACAACATGGACTGAACCACCACTCACAACCACTAGCACTTTATATAGCCTCTGTAGAAATTATCCACATATCTCACTTATCTTAACTGCACTACTGTATAGTTCTGTGTAAATAATCATTCTGTACATACGATAATTTTTAAATCTACAACTGTTTATAACCTGCATAGTTCCCATTTCTGTATAACTGTATATCTCATATTTCTGTATAGTTTTTCATATTTATATCCTGTTCATAGCCTGTACTCACTACAGCCTGTACATACTTATAGTTATAGCATATTCATAACATACTTCATACCATGTACATTATAACATATCATAATAGACCCATTTCTGTAATATACTCACATATCTATATTATTGCTAATATATATTTGTAATATATCTATATCATGGCTAAAACACTTCTGGATGGATGCAAACTGCATTTCGTTGCCCTGTACCTGTGACATATGCAATGACAATGAAGTTGAATTCTATTCTATTCTATTCTATTCTATTCTAGACATTTAATAATACCACCACTTTCTCATGAAATTCTATAGTTTGCCTTTCAGAATCATCGTTTGTTTATTTTAAAAAGGCACAAAGAGTTCCTTTACATCAGATAACTTGTGATGGTTTATAGATATCATGGGCAAAAATCAGGAAGTTCAAAATAATGCGCTACATGGAGACAGTCTGTCGCTGACCTTTTATCTGTCATCTATAGCATTTTTAAGGTGTCTCACAACCTATGAGTATTTGTGAATGTTTTTTTTCACACCACAATTTTTGGATTATATGTCTAATATATAGCACATATTTATTACATTATATCATCATTTTGTATTCAAGTTTGCCACTCATGATTAGGTGGTGGTGGGGGCTGAACTATTGTCCCACTGGCTGTTCTGTTTTATATAAACTCTCCTTTATACCTTTCCTTGACCTCATTGTCATCAAGGCCAATGTAATGTGATTGGGAAGGGTTAGGACTTTTCAACTGGAACCTGGTACCCACATGGCTTTTAAACCCAGAGAAAGGTTCAGATACTGACCTTTTTTTCCTCCCATTTCATGCAAGCATTTACTGCATAACGAACATTCTTGAGCATGCAGCACTGCATTAAGGCTGATCTAAGAATCTTGCCCCACCAACTTCAACAAGCATGTTGCCTTTCTTACTGGGATTAAGTCAGCTAAGTGGAATTCTTGTTGTACAAATGCCCTCAGTTATATGCTCATAGAAACCGTAAGAAATCGCAATATTTAAACAACTTACTATAAAAGTTAACTTGAAAATCTATTCTCCTGTGATTTGTATATTTGTCTGTATTATATTGTTGCTATTGTTGTGCTTGCCGAATATAATTCGTTTAATATTTTGCATTAGTTTCCTCTTTTGCCATATGACAAGCTTGGAAAAAATTAAAGAGTTTAAACAATTGAGTGTTTGCATTTCCTCGAAGCTATTTAGGCGTGTACAGGTATGTTGAAGACCCTCTTGTATCTGGACTTTGTCTGCAGGTATTTGTCCTACATTTTTAGATGCACAAGCCTATAATTAATACCATAGAAGTGGTGCATGTACATTAGCAGTTGCCGCTCGTGTAGCTTGCGTTATACAAGAGAAACTCCACATCCCTTTCTGTCCTTTCTTTATGTGTGTGTATGCGTGTGTGTGCAACTGCGTGCATGTGTGTTTGTTACCAGCTCTCATCAGGTTGGGTGCGTTATTTGAGGGCTTCCTGCTGCATCCATCTGCCTGAAACTACCAAGAACCGAACTGTCACTGTATTTTTCATTGTAAGTAGTCGTGATTAAATATCATGCAATGACAGTGTCACAGTAAAACACGTAGGTATAGCCTTAAGAAGCTTTGTGCAGAAAAGGGTGGTAGCCCGTTAGCTGCTGACATGCTAACTTTACTAATTTTTCGCTAGCTAACGCAAGCTAGTAAACTAGCCAGGTTAGCATTCTATTTGAGCGTGGGGGCGAGATTTGATTGCTGCTTATATGTTATGCTAGAAACGTTGCCAGCTGCTGTTATATTCAGTGCTCCACTTTTGTGTTTTATTGGGCGTCGAAGCTCTTTTTGCATGTATAAAATTGTGCAGATTTCCGTGTGGGACTCGAGCGGCTAATATCAACAGCTAACGGTAGTTAACGTTAGCTCGCCGCTGTTAACCTGCTCGCTTGTAGCTGGAGGAAACGTTAGCTGGTCAGTCATCAATTTAATCGAGCTATTAGCTACACATTTAGGTAACAAGTGCTATTAATTATCCACCCATATTGCCTCGCTATTCCTGCGCCTGTTTAGCTCAATCAACGGTGTAATTAACTCTGATGTTGCATTACCGGCCACCTACTGTGCAAGATAGCCACATATACTGACCCGGGGAACCATTGGACTCGCGCACGGCACGTGCTGTCGGTTGACCAAAACAGGTGTGCCAGATGATGCACGCGACTAATTTGATGATGGATTATTAGCTGCTCAATTGTTACTCAGCCACCTTTCGTTACGGCTGGATTAACTAGTTCCAACACGAAACGAGTCACTGAGAACAATATAATTAAGGGCTAGAGTTGAGGATTATTAGTATAATTTGTGAATGATTTATTTTAAATCATGAAATTCTTATTAATATCTGCAAAGTTTTTAGAAAATAAGAAAAATGGGCATTCCATTCAACGACTTTTAGGAAAACATTTCAGGTTTCCTCTTTGTTCAACCCCCAAACAAAGAATGTTAATTTTGATTAATCTAATGTAAAGACAAGTAATGTGTTTTTTATATTTGAGTTGCAATTGAATAAATTAACATTTTTGACATACATATATTATGTATATATGTATATATAAACACAGTAGTGTTTTTGCACTACTGAAAACTTTATAAGTGCTTAGTGTGTAATTGTTTTTGTTATGGTTTATTTCAGCAGGTTTAAACAGAGGTTAACGTTCTGGTGGAAACAGCCACTTGACATTGCCCACACTCAGGACATCGAAGGCAGCTCCTCATACCTTTAGGCATATCAGAGAAGCAGTTTGTAAACATTCATCAGACTCATGACTGTTTGAGAGGACACGGCCCCACCGTGGCCCATGCACTGTATCCATTTCCCTCCCTGTCCTCCTTATCCCTCAAGCTGACGCAAAACCCCAGACACCTACCCCCCCTCCCCCACCCCCACTCCCATCCGGTTCCCAGTGACTCGCCTCCTCCTGCCATGGTGTCCGGCACAGAGACCGTGCACTACATCCACCTCCACAACTCCAGCCAATCAGTGCTGGAAGCCCTTCGCACACAACGGCGTGAGGGCCTCTTCTGCGATGTGACCGTGCGAATACATGATGCCTCCCTGCGTGCCCACGCCTGCGTTCTGGCAGCCGGTAGCCCCTTCTTCCAGGACAAGTTGCTGCTCGGTCATTCTGAAATCTCTGTTCCGCCGCTGGTGCCCGCTGAAACCGTGAAGCAGCTTGTAGACTTCATGTACAGTGGCTCGCTGGTGGTGCTGCAGTCACAGGCCCTGTGCATCCTCACTGCTGCCAGCATCCTGCAAATTAAGACGGTCATTGATGAGTGCACTCAGATCATCTCTCAGAGGAAGGCGGCGGCAGGGGCAGCAAGTGCAGCAGCAGCTGCGGCGGCCGCTGCTGCTGCTGGAGGAGGAATGCTTGGAGGGGTCCTCCCTAAACAAGAGGAGCGTGGCGGGGGGAAAGGGAGAGAGAGTGGCAGCAGTGGAAGCTGTTCTGTTAGTGGGGGTGGGGGTTACGCCAACTTCTCTAATTTCATGGCTGAATGTGGAGGTGGTAACATGGCCGGTGGGTTAGGGGGTGCCAACGTTAGCGTCAGTGAGAGCGGCCCAGGCCCAATGGATCAAGCTAACACTGTAAGCCTGATGGCACTTGGAGACATGGGCCCCGGTGCCATGTGTGGTGGTGACGCGATGGGCACCGGGGGAGGTGCAGTCCTCATGAAGCAGAGCTCAAGCTGTACTCAGGACGTAAGGTACAAGCTCCGAGACCTGTTGGCACAGACGGCCAATGGAGCCAGCACAAGTAGCACAGGGAACCTCTCAGCGGGCTGCAGCTCCGGCGTGGCCAGTGTGGACAGCATTGGCAGGGACAGCCTCCGCGGCAACACAACTGACCTCTCTGATGACCTTGTGGGGATAGACCGATACAGCGAAGAGGAGGACTTGGATGGGAGAGACAGGGGAAGAGATGGAGATAGAGACAGGGGGGCGAGCCACAGCCGCAAGCAGAGGCAGCCGCTAAGACTCCAGGTAGGGGGATAAGGGGAATGGTTGCTATGGTTACAGTTTTCAGGCATGCAGAGCTGCAACGTTTTCGTTTTCTTTCTTTTTATGCTTTTCCCTCTTCTCACACTGCATTGGCGTATATCGCTGAGATGTTTCTGCACTTTTCACAGTTGGATCTCTCGCCTAAACTTCAGCAGTAATTGCCTTGTTGATAATCTATGGACTTCTGCATATTGACTGTAGGTTATTCAACTTATCAGAACCTGCTTGAAGGGGCTGTAGCCGGGGCTCTTATAGACTTTTTGTTGCTTTTTAGCTCCAATACTGATCTAAAGGTATTTCTTTACTACTTGAAATTGAAATGGACCTGTCTTTTTTTTTCTCCCCAGGTGCTGGGAGGAGAGGGAGTAGTGGTGAAGGATGAAAGTGTACAGGATGCAGATGGGACTGTCTATGCCTTGGAGGATGGGAGACGAGATCAAGAGCAGGAGGGCTCCCAGGAATCCATGGCAAGCTTTGGACAGGTATGTTAACTCAGAAGTGAATAAAAAAAACTAAAATGAAGAAAGAAAAAAACCCAGCTCACCTGCGCTGAATGTTTCAATAATTTATCTACTATGCAAGGAGAAGCATGGCATTCAGACTATTACACATATTGCAGTTGTGAAGTGATGGTCTTTGATTTTTTTTTTAGAGAAATATTTAGGTACATTATCTTCCGTTTTGCCTTAGAAAGGCCTTATTGTAGTACATTCGAACTCAGCATTTGTGCCAGAAGTCCTGAAATAAGTAGACGGGAAAACGTGGTGGAGCAGATTTATGCCGCAGCCTGCTGTACCCTGCAGTCTACACAAGGAACATCTGCCACACAGTCAGAAAGATTCAGCCCTGCTTGTCAGTTTTGCTGCAGATTGTCACGTTTGGAGATAAAATCATCTACTCAGTTTAGTCACAGCATGTGATCGTCACTTAACCCAACATTGCTTGAATAATATAATCTTGTCTTTGAGCAATGTGTGAAACGGACTCTTGCTTTCATCCCCGCAGACATTATTTTTCTTATTTGTCCTCCTCGTGTCTATGACGGTTAAAAGGCAATTGCTCTGCTGTGATTGTAGCCGTGTTTACATGTAAGATGAGCGCTCAGAGAGAAAGTTTGAATCTGGAGAAGCTCTCCTACTTTTTTCCTCTTGCACAGTGCACCGCTGCTCCCTGCCACTCTGAACGCTCCCTGCTCGCTCACCCAGTGAACAGAGCAGAGCGAGAGAGCTGTTCCTGTTCCATTCGAGCAAGATGTTGTTGCAAAGCAGGAGGATAAAAATATGAGTATGGAAAGTGGTTAAATTTCTGCAACAATAACGGGAACCAAAGCATGACGATAACTGCAGTGAGTGCGATAGATGTGGTTAGCAAGCTGAGATATACATGCATACCCAATGAACAAATATCTGAATAGTAGAATATTTGGCCACAGCCCTAGAATGCGTGCAAAAATGCTTCAGTTGGCCACACGCCACCTGGAGGTGTTATTGCTAGTCATCAGTTGTAAATGATGTCTGATCCCACATTTTTAAGAAAAATATACTATATATCAAATATATTCAAAGGTCGTCTTGGTCCGATATCTCAAATTCTGTGATAAAAATCTGCAGATGGGCATGTTCTCTGCAAGGACGTAAATAAAGCCTGTGCAGTGGAGTTTCTTGAAGAACTTCCAGTATGTGTAAGACTATCTGTTTTAAGTAGGTTAGCAGTACTAGTGCTAGTACAGTTCTTCACTTCCTTTTACTAGAGGTTAGGGGTGGGGGAAAAAATCGATACTGTGTAGTATCGTGATATTTTGTTTGCTAATAATGTATCGATACAGGGACAGCAGAAATCGATATTTTGTTACAAAAAAGGTTTTTGTGCTCTGACTTCAGAGCATGTTGATCCTTTTTCTGAGCAAGAATCCTGACATTCCTTCACTGTCCAAATGTGTTTAACTTTTTTATGGCAGCAATAAACATGACAGTTTACTTATTTTAATTTAAGACATGTTTTATTTTAATTAAGTGTAAAACTTTTTTATTTAATGTAAAATTATATTTTGTTTTAATTTACTTTCAAATTCTTCAGTTGCTGAAGGGGCTGCATAGTTTTCATAAACTGCATAGTTCAGAATAGCTGTAATTGTACCAGATGGTTGCGTTCAGTTAAGTTGGACTAGACTGTAATACAAACCGTTCAGTTTGTCAACAATAAAACTGAAATGAGAGAAAAACTGAGTGTGAGACTTTGATATTAGAGAAAATGAATATTGATAAAGTTTACCTTTATGTACAGAATCTGAATATCGCAAAATATTTTTAAAAATTGCAATAATATCGTATCGTGGGATGTATGGTGATTCCCACCTCTAGTAGAAGTAGTGTTAATGTTTGACTTCTCTGTCTACCGTGTTACCCTCACTGTGTGTGCTATGGTACCTTTACAGGATGCACCCAGGTTGTTAACAGCTCTGCATGCTCTTCTGTTCAGTCCATCCCAAATCCATACACATATCTGACTCTCGTAAAAGCAAAACATATATTCCACTATGTTATTTCTATTATTATTACTCAGATTTAGTAACAAAAGTTTGGGTATTTTCCACTTTAAGAAAATCATGGCCGGGACAAACAGACTAGAATAGCACTCACATGTACAATGAAATTATGGGCTGCAAGTGCAAATCATTGAAGTCCCAGCATTGACATTATTGGTTTAAATATTTGGCACTAGTTACTGGAAACTGTAATGCACGACACTCTTGCATCATCACACAACGTGTATCAACACAGATAAGAAGATACCAGACGACCTAAATAGCATGTGAAACTCGATCAGCCTCTCAGACAAACAGAAAGTTACTGTTGGTATCACTCATGTGAGCATTTCGTGCTTCTTTACATTGAGGTGGATCATCTTCCCAGCCAGGTCTAACTACTTCCAGTGAAACTGCTGCTGACAGTCATTCTATGACTGGTTGGACTGTAATGTACGATATCGTGTCAGCATCTGCTCGCCTGCAGCTGTAACATGGTAGACTTATAAACAATATAAAGAAAACTGGCTGTATATTTAGGTAATGAGGGATGTAGTTTGCCTACACAGAAAGTCTTTTCGTTGCGTAATGTGTGTTACATGAAAAAGATAATCTTGCTTCCTTCAAAGCAATGGCATAAAGGAATGTCTTTTACTTGAACTATATGCCCGTATAGATGACCAAAAGTCTAATTTTAGGTTTGCTTTTACATTCCTTTGATGATATGTGCTGTCTGCAGAGCTGCAGAGATGTGAACCATCCGACCCTTGAACTGATGGCAAAACAAGCAAAATTTCTCATGTTAAATAGTCTTTTTTTAGCTTGTTCTTTTGTTTGTTTTAGTTGTTTTTTTTAATCTATGTTTGTTTTTGTGTTTCAGGATTTCTATGATGAGCAGGGCGTGTTTTCAGAGAGTTTTTGGCCCCAGAGTGAGCCCCCTCAAGCCATGGCTTTTAACCCCAGAGGAAGGGTCAATAAACCACTGACTCCACCTCCAACCACCCAGGCCATCAACAACCAGGTCAGTGCTTCAGTCAAATTCACGAGGGGTGTACTAGGAAGTAAGATTAATGGATTAGTGAGCTCTGTCGAGCTCAAAGTCAGAGCTTTCTGTATCAAAGTGGCTTTTTTACCTGGCTTAATAACCATGGCAACTTATGCTCAACTCATAACCTGGTCAAGAGCAGGTTGTGGTCAGAGTTTCAGCTTAAAATTGGCTGGACATGCACTAATTGTTTTATTTACAGGATTTTTAAAAAGTGTGTTATATTCTCTAGTGGGGAACATGTTTTATATAAGATAAGATAAGACTTTATTGATCCCACAACGGGGAAATTTTTGCGTCAGCTCAGCTCAGGTACAGATATAAGAAGGAAATACAAAAAGTACAATCAATGAAAAAAAGTAAGATAATACACTATATGTGCAAGTTGTTAAGCCTTACCTTACTAACATCACGAATGAAGCCCTGAGTGCACCTTTCATTTTCACTGCAATGTGCATGTATTCAGAAAAACGTATAAATGTTTTTATTCTTGATTCTAACGAAACACCTTTTGTGTGTTTATGTTAGAACTAAAAACAAAATGAGTGCAAACCTAGAATGAATCTATTCACCGTTTTCTGAGTAAACAATTAAGCAGTTAAATGAGGAAATAATGGGCGACTTAATTGTTAATGAAAATAATAATGGCTCCTCTACATTTCATATATAAATACATTATTGTAATTGCAAAAGTTACAAAATAATTGAAATGTGAAAATTGAAGCGCCTTAAATGTGAAGCACTAATCTTATTAAAGGATGTTTGCATTGAGACAGGAAGTGAGATGATTGACGGAGAGTCGATTTTAACGCAATGCAGCACTAAGAAAAACACACACACATACTCAACCAACACAGAACAACAGAAACACAAATAAAAGCTTCAATTTAGTGTGATGGGCTGTATATCTTTTTCAAGCTTCAGCCTACACACTTTGATTGACGGGTGTGCTGACTTTGAAAATGAAAATGCAGAAATGGCCTGCATAGACAATGATTTTTTTATTATTTATGAAACAGCATGACATACCAGACTGTAACATACCATTTCTACATATATATGCTCAAATCAGGCCTTCTCAAAATTCTGATGATGATGGGTTCAGTCACATGTCAGCTCCTTAAATTGGCAAATGGAAACGCACACCTGTCAAACGATTTGTACCATATTTACTGATGGTCTGTGCAAGCACAATGCTCTCTTTAGGCATTTAAAAAATGACGGTGTGTTTTCTAAAGAGGCATGGTGTGTTTTGTGGCTGGAAGGCGTGGACACGGATATTTTTGAAAGATGGATTTATTGCATATGTGTATAGGAGTGGAGCTTCCCAGGTGCAATATCTGGGGAGGAGTAGTTTCAAACGAGTCGTGCAAACGTGACTTACAGAGGTTTTAAAAAGGGGAAATAAACAAATAAGAAAAAAATGCGCATTCACACTATCTAACCTTTTTGTGGGTTAGATCAGCGGTCCCCAACCTCCGGGCCTCGGACCGGTACCAGTCCGTGAGTTGTTTGGTACCGGGCCGCGAGAGTTGAGGCTCAGGTGTGAAATGTATAGTTTTCAGGGTTTTTATCGGTTTTCAGCGTTATTTTGTTATCGTTTTTATCGTTTACTCGGTTTTCCTGGGTCTTTTCACGTGTGTTATGAATAAATCTTATTTTTTTCGGTACCGGTACTAGTTTTATTTTGTTGTATTTATCCGCGACACCTTAAAGGCCGGTCCGTGAAAATATTGTCGGGCATAAACCGGTCCGTGGCGCAAAAAAGGTTGGAGACCGCTGGGTTAGATAGTAGTCAGATCCTGTGCTCCACCTGAGTTGTCCGATGTTTTCTGCTCGGCAAATCAACACTGATTCTGTTTCAGCTGACTGTTCCTCTCTAGTGCACGGTGTCCAGAGAGAAGCACATGTGTAAAACCTGCTGTTATTTTTGTTTAGATCTGCTTTTGTCTTGCCGCACTTGGTAGGATGGTGGTCATTATTGAAATGAACCAGCTATTGTTTTTATTAGGGGTATATGTAGTTGATTAGTTCTAAATATTATCGATTGTGTTCGGAAATGTTCATCCAGAGCAAATGGTCTGTATCATGTTCCTTCACAGCTTCTGTTCCAGTACCCAGTGAGCCAGTCGCAGCCAGCTCCGTTCTATGTGGGCGGGCCCATGGGTGGGATTGACACCATGGCGGGGACAGAGCCCAGTCAGCAGGCTCCACCCCCAGCACCAATGACCCCAGCTCCGCCACCCTCCACCTCTTCCTGCTCCGCAGGGCCCTCACCTTCCTCCCAGGGATCTGAGACCTCGTTCGACTGCACGCACTGTGGCAAATCTTTACGTTCCAGGAAGAACTACAGCAAGCACATGTTCATCCACTCTGGTACGTTCACGTCACAGTAATTGATCAGCTGCATGTATGTTACACAAGTGTGAAGAGGACAAAGATTAATTGCATAGTTACGTATGCAGTATTCACGACATTATCACCTGCCATTGAGGTCCGCATAAAGGTAGAGACTTGTATTTCAGGATAATCTCTCGGATGAATAGACATGTTTCTATCCCAGAATTCTTTGTATCATATTAAAAGAACTGAATAAGTATTTTTATATGAACAAAAGGCAAACAGAAAATGATTCACTTGTATTGGCAAGACTGTTCTTGGGGATGGTTTTATAAGCTTCTGCACATGCCTGGCTCCACAGGTCAGAAACCTCATCAGTGCTCCATCTGCTGGCGCTCCTTCTCCCTGCGGGACTACCTCCTCAAACACATGGTGGTGCACACTGGTGTCAGGGCCTTCCAGTGCACCATGTGCGGCAAGCGTTTCACCCAGAAAAGCTCGCTAAATGTGCACATGCGCACCCACCGTGCCGAGCGCACCTTCCAGTGCAACGTGTGCCACCGGGCCTTTACTCACCGTACCTTGCTGGAGCGCCACGCCCTGCAGCACGCCCACCACGCCCCGCAGACCCCAGGTCAAGGCCAGGGGCGTGGAGCCGACATGACCTCACCTACCAAGCACAGCCCTCCAGCTATGGGAGGGCACTCAGGTATGGCTGGCGCGGCTGGCATGGTTGGCAGTATGGCCAACATGCAGAGCCACGGAGCTTCCTCCACCTAGAGAGAGGGGGGGAAGGAAGGGGGGGGGAGGGTTATGATCCCATTCCTTGAATCAACAATTTGCTCCTAACAGCCTTGTTGATCTTTTGTTCTGATGGAAAGAGCGCCATTTTAGCTTAATACCATTTTCAGTCAGGGCTCCTACACAGGACTGGAACGCCTTTTAAGAAAAAAAAAGTACTCTTAAGGGTATTTTTGAATAGCACAGATATTGTGGGAAAATCTGGCTGGAAAAAATGTAATTTTCTAGAAACCCATTTGAAATAGTCGTAGCTGTAATTCGTGTTGTCACATCAGTTCCTGTGAGGACTAACCATAAGCTTATAGAGCAATGTCACAATAATCATGCCTTGTTGAATAGCCATGTTTCTTCTTTTTTGTAATAACTGAGACTTGTGTAGGAGCCCTGTTTTGAAAAGACCAGAGAGTCACCAAAGAGGTTAGGAAAACTGAACAGGGTTTGGGAGTGGGTGAGGCTAAGGAAAGTTGTAGCGTTTCTTTTTTTTTTTTCTAAGTGGAGGTGAGGGTGGGAGTGGACTAACATTTGGAGTTTTAAGGAGATGCAAGTTAGGGAAACAGGGAAGGATAGGTCGGTCGGTGAGTTTACCAGGTTTCATTCACTTTCAATTCATTTAAATGAAGTTTGTGTCAGTTCATGCAAATTACCAAATCGTAAGCATGTAACCATAACCCAATGTGGTCGTCCAATGAGGATGATTCTATACGTAGAAGCTTTGAAGCAGCAGATTGGAAAAGTGCTTGAGGGTTTTTTTTAAAAATAGAATATAAAAATGCCCCGATAAAAACAAAATAACACAAAAAAGAAAAAAAAAAAAAAAAAAAAGTGAGAAAAAACTGAATGTGCTACATGTGAGCGCAGAGTAGGAGAAGCTAACCCAATGCAGACGGCTAGTAGAGGTTTAGCTAGCACTTTAGCATAGAAGCTAACAGATAAATACAGTCTCAGTTTCGTCTTTTTTTTCTTATTTGTTTTAAATCATCATTTAAAAGTTTTCACAATTCCATTAGCTATTTGTTTAATATTAAAAGCTAATGATAGCATTAGCCACATTTAGCTATGCTAATGTGTATAACAGTACTTGCAAGGAACAGTTAAAGTTATTTGCAAGCAATATTCAGAGAATTATCACTTCTTTCTCTGCTGTTTAACTACCTTTTGTGGTGGTAATGTTTTTGTTTGTTTGTTTTCATCAAAGCCAACATTGACTTTCTATATAGTTTTATATAGAATAATTTTTTACCTGGAACTTCTACATTTATGGTTTGGTTTAGTGCATTACTTTAGATCAAGTTGGACAATAATAGGAAAAAATAATAATTTAAACAACTTAAGAGCACTGACGTTGATTTAAAAATAAAGAAATAAGTGTTGATTACGTGTTGTTCAGCAGCTGAAGTTCATGGTTCTCACATCAGTTCTCAGGAGTAACGTACACATGGGCGCATTCTCTTTAGCAAAACGTTTTGCTTGCCTTTTACTTTAAAAACACCCTCAGCGCCTCTTTTTTTCACCCTGTTTTGAGTTTTGCGTATTTAAACTTGAAAAAAAAGAATACACTTACTGAGTTAATTGAATTGAATGTGAATGGAGCCCGGCACTATTCAGGAGCAACCTTTGATGACAAAGAAGCGTGCTGATGAATGAATCGAGGAAGAAGGAAAATAGTCTGAGAAGAGTGAGAATACAGCAGGGAATGGGGGAGGGAGGAAGAGGCGGGTTGTACGATGCACAGCAGTGTGAATGAAATTCACCATCATCCATCAGACCGCTTTGTAACATTTTCCACAGGCGCCACCGGTCGGCACCAGGATCATATACCTCGAACCAGAACGAGCCCCCGATGGCTCAGAGGGACACTAGTTACTCATTTGAAATGTTTGCTAAACATTTCAGCATGTTTTACACACAGACACACACACACACACACACACACCTACAATTACCTCGGTGGTCCAAAGACAGGCATTATGCTTCACATCTTTTAAGCTACATCAAACGAAGAAACAGTGAAAACTAAAGCTAAGATAGATCCATATACTTTTTAAAAGCTTGCTAAAGTACTTATGTGTAAAATTCCTGTACATCACTATAACGCTCAGTTTGTTATTTGTCGCTCATGTGATTCTTTGATGCAAAAATAAGGCAGAAAAAAAAAACAACCTAAAAGCGAAAGAGCCATTCAGAGGAAGTTAAACTTGGATGAATATCAATGACAAATCAGTGACTATTATCAGGATTTTTATTAAGTGTTTGGTTTTGTTTGTCTTTTGGGGCTCTGGTTGATAATAAATGGGAAGTGTTTGTTGCTTAAAAAATAAAAGCTTTTCTTACAGCACTATAAAAACAAAAAACAAAAAAAAACAACTTTTGATGTTTTAGTAAGACTAAATTAATCATAAAACTGTACAATCACCCCTTCAAGTTTTGACCAAGTCGAACTAGTGATAATATTAATTATCACATTAATATTTATTAGGATTTGATCTCTATGCACAGTTAAGTTTGCACATCATGTTACTTAGACCTAATGTTGCTGTCCCCTAAAATATTTGGCCTGAGATTGTTTTTGTTTTCTTTTTCAGTACCTTAAAGGTACATAAAAAGACCTTATGTGTTCCTGCTTTTTGCTCATTTTCCTCAATGTTTGTTAGCTGAAGCATTATATGATATTCAGTAGTTTACTTAAGCTTTGTAAGAGCCTTCTAATTGGCATGATTTTATAAGTGAACCTCTCAAAAGTGAGACATTTTGAGCTTGAGAACTTTGCAAGTGATTAGATAATTTGACATTTAAAAAAATCTCTTTAATGTAGACGTCTTTTAAAAAAAGTGAATCCAGCAAAGATACAGATTTGGATCCTTTCTGCCTGGGCTTCACTATAAATATTGACATTAAATGTCCCACGTAAATGTGGAAAACGACTGCTTATTTACACAGAACGGTCCTGGCAGCATGTGTTCATTGGCTTCTGAACATTGCAAGTGAATTTGCAGACTCAGTACTTAGTTTCTCCAGTGTTGTGGATAGAAGAAGAGATGCTGGACTGAAACTCCTCCAACTGCCTGTTGGTTATAAGCTATATACATACATATATATATATATATGTGTGTGTGTATAAATGTTAACGCCAAAACATTGGTGCTTTTTTGGAAATCTTTACCTCATTTGATAGATGCCAACACCACGCTGTGGTCTGGGTTTGGTAAATAAGCAGTATTGAGCTGTTTCTGAGGTTTGATCAATCCTCAGCAGTGAAAGTGGTTTTGGTGCATTTTGTCTGAGGCGGACCCTTGTACAGTACTGTATTATGTGTGCTTTGAAGCCATGTCAGCGCATTGTATCGTACTGTGTTATGCCTTTTTTGTTTTCTGTACTTTTGTTTTATTGAGAGGGATGATAATTGTTTTTTCTACATTATTTCTTTAACAGAAGCTAAATATGTCAGAAGAAGAAAAAGTCATTTTATAAAAAAAAAAAAAAGTTACTTGTCATTGTAAAACTACATCTTTTATGTATAAAAAGACTAAAGGCATGATTTTAACTTTTTCTGAGAACTTAGATGTCGTACTCGATGAATTAATTGAATTTTAAAAATGAGTGATTTCAAAGATTTCTTTCTCCAAATAAAAAGTCTTCTATGGCTCTGGGCCAGCTGCTCTTTGTGGATCTCAATTTCTTAAAAATAACTTCTTTTTAAAACTCTTTCTTCCTTTTTTAACTCTAAATGTGTGTTTGTTTCTGCGCATGTCTTGTGGGCAAATTCAGATATACAATTCTTATTTTGCACACGCCCTCAGTTCTCTTTGAAACACGAGGCATCAAAGCTGCCGTTTGATGTTGGTATTTTTACCCAGGTATCCAGCGCTGCTCATCACACAGTGTAAATCATACAACCCGTACATGCAAAACTCTTCTTCCATTCAAATCTCCAATTAATTCAATTCAATTTTATTTATATAGCGCCAAATCACAACAAAAGTCGCCTCAAGGCGCTTCATAGATACAGAGAAAAACCCAACAATCATATGAAATTAAAAATCAGTTTGTGTAAACATGATAAACTATTAACGTTAAAGAATATATAAAGACATATATTTAATATATTTATAAACTGTCCCTGATCAGACATTGTACATTCAGGTGCTGAGATCATTAGAGGCCATTATTGTGAAAGCACAGTTATCTCTTGGTATTTTGTGACCCCCGCCCCTCGATGGTGGAATGGGACGATGGTGTCCTGGCTCTTCATTGAGTATCACTCTGTATCTTCAGTTTTAGCCTAATTTAGCAACTGTGAATTGCTTGCTTGCTTTATTCATTGTGACGTATTTTTATGCACTTACTGCTGCTTCGAAGAATATACATGGAGCTTAAGCCCTGGACAAAACTTTGAAATCTTTTGTCCTTAACAAGTAAATAACTAAACGTCATGTCAGCCAGCTCCTCGTCAACACGTTTGGCTGGGGTCATTTGTTTTGGAATAAATCTACATGTCTTGGTTTGATTTTTCAGAAGTTTTTTGAAAGAAGGCGGATGCTGCAGAGTCAAACAGGACACTTTTCCAGGGCCAGTGGATGGCAGCTGGAGGAGAGACGGTAAGCTCTCCTCAGGCTGCACAGACTGGTGAATGGTTCTTAAACATATGTGCAAGTTTCTTCTTGTTGACCCCGCTCTGAAGCATATTTTCATTTTACAAATTTACACTCATCTTTAGTTTCTAATATCACTAAAATGAGCCAGTTGGTGCTCCTTTTCTGTTTTCGCTCATTTCTTCCCTTTCACCCGACATGCTTGGACTTAAATCCGGCTCCTCGTCTCTCTATCGCTCGGTGTACTTGGCCTGTACCGCTTGCTTTCTTTGATTCGTGATTGGCCACATGGTGTACCCATCAAAAAACAACATCCCACCCCTCCCTGCATGGATTTTATCGGAGCTGAACAGAAGCGGATGAAGAGTCAATTTTCCCTGTCGGGGCATCCTTCATATATCCATCCATTC